TACTTCAAAAAGAAGAACTTTATTATTATTGTTTCATATTTTTTCATATTGTTAGAGTGAAATACGATATTGTTTTTGTATTAGAAAAAATATTTTCTCATAACTAAAAATATCAAACTAGAAAGAGAAAACAAAGATTTTTTCTAACGAAGAGATAGATAGTCTATAAGTTGAAGATTAAAACGTTTCAATTAGAAAATGTAACATTTAGATTTTTTATTTTCACTCTTTTTGGTAATATCACCATCTTTTTCATTTCTGTCTTTTAATGTATATCGAACAGCTTGTTCAAATATTTGTTTCAAGCCAACTCGTTTTAGTGCTGAACACTCCATATAACAATAGGCATTTAGGTCCTGTGCTAATTTATCTCCATCTTCTTTTGTGTAAGGTACTTCTCCATTATCTTGTAAATTTTTTACTTCTTTTGGGTCATCTCTTAAATCTATTTTTGTTCCAATAACCATTAATTTAGCTGTTGGACAGTGTTGACGAACTTCACGGACCCACTAATTGTCAATTTTAGAAGAATAGGGACTAACTTGTAGCAAACCAAAACAAACTTTATCTCTCACATTAATGTATGATGCATGATAAACTACTGAAAAACACAACAAAAAAATATCAGTTTGTGGATATGATAAAGGTCTGAGAGAATTATATTCTTCTTGTCCTGCAGTGTCCCATAATCCAAGGTTAATTTTTTTATTATCAACAACTACATTTGCAACATAATTATCAAATACAGTTGGAATGTAATCAGTTGGAAATTCATCAGAAGTATAACACATCAACATACATGTTTTTCCAACATTACCATCACCAACAACTACGAGCTTTACATTCTCAGACATCTTTCTTTTCTTTTTTTTTAAGATTTTAAGTTTCTATTTTTATTTTTGCCTTTTTACTTTGAATTTAATGTTATTTGTAACAAAAAGAAATGAAAAACAAAAAACAGAAAATATGAATGAAATAACTACAAGAACTGAAAATCATCAATTCATGTCTGCGATTGATTCGTTATTAGACAATATAGTTTCTTTGACAAAAAAAGTGAGATCGCTTAAGACAAAAAGTGAAGAATTAAAAAAGATAATATCCTCTCCAAATTATAAAAAAATGTTATTAAATGGATCACATAAAGAACTTTTCGAATTTATTTTTAATTTAATGAATGAATGCCCTCCAAAAGAGATTATTATTTGCGGTAGTTTAATTGATTTTATTGAATCTTCTGCTACATGTGGTTATATTCCACCTGTATTATATGATGCTGCAGTAGAATGTGTACTTTCTTCATTTAAGTATACTGCAAATACAACTCTAAACACTTCGATTATCAAATGTGTTAGTACTTTCATTATTTCTCAAACTCATCATATTCATTCAGAATTATTATTAAGAGCATTTAGAGTCATTTTTGATGCTACTTTATTATTAAATATTCATGAGTCAAGTATCAGTTCAGCTATTAATAATTTAACTCAATTAATTGGTGTTATTGTTATGAAAATGGAAATGGCTAATTCTGTAATTGATGAAGAAAAAGAAAATAAACGTTCAAGTATTTCATCTCCAGTAATAAATGATATTCTTCCATGTTTCTATGATTCGATCGAATTATTACATTATTTGTACTCACTCACTACAACACATTGGACACAAAGAAGTACTGTTGATACTACATTCAAAACTTTTCTTTCAACAATTACAAATGAAGCCAAAGAAACTCTTGACTTAAAATGTCAATTACATAGTCTTAGATTAATATCTACATGGTTAGATACATTTTCACCCACTTTACGTTCATGTAATTCATTCAAAAAAGTGATTGAAGACAACAAGTCTTTTTATCAAGATATACAAGAGTGTCTTATATTATCTTCAACAGATGAATTATTATTTGATGAGTCTATTTTATTAGTTAAATCAATAATGAAACACAAAGTTTTATTTAAAGGATTATTAAACGAAGTATTTCATGTTATTTATATACCACTATTAAGACACCCAATTATTTTTCCAACAATGAAATTAAAGATATTAGAATTATTAAACTTTGTTTGTGAAAAAAATGCTTTTTGTGAAATATATATTAATTGTGACTGTGAATTATATGGAGAAAATATTATAACTGAAATGATTTGTGTTTTATTATATCTAGTTGAAAATGAACAAGATTATTCAGTAAAACATTCTGCAATTAATACATTAAGACAAGTAATAAAGTCATTTAGAAAAGAAGTAACTGAACCTCCCAAAGGAGATTTTAATATTCATGAATTACTTGCTTTAAAACAAAAGTACAATGACATCAAAACAATTTTCAAAGAAAATGCTAAGAAAGGAATAGAACTATTTAAAGAAGGAGGTTTTTGTGGTGAATCAGTTGAAGACATTGTAGAATTTTTTACTAAAAATGTTGATTTAGACAAAGTCGCTATTGGAGATTATGTTGGAAAACATGATGAATTTAATCAACAAGTATTAAAAGCATGTATCAATAGTTTAGATTTTAAAGATAAAGAGATTGATGAAGGATTACGAATGGTATTTAATCTCTTTGTTATGGGAGGAGAGTCTCAAGTCGTTGATAGAGTTATGGAATGTTTTGGAAATCATTATTTTGAATGTAATAAAGAAAGACTAACTAAAATGTCATTGAATGCAGTTAATATTTATCAATTAGCTACAAGTGTAATTTTCTTATCAACAGAATCTCATAATCCATCAGCAAAAACAAAAGCAATGGATACATTTGAAAAATTTAAGGAAGTTATTAATTCTGGATTTGGACTTTCTATTGAAGAAAATATTCTTAAAGGAATTTATGAACGAACAACTAAAGAAGCATTTCATCTTCCTAAAATATCTATTGTTCAACAAATCAATGAAACAAATAAAAATGAATTTCAAGGAAAGAAAAGAATACTTCAAATTAAATCTGACTTAGAAAAAATGAAAGACTATTGTATTGCTAAATTAAAAGGATCTACATTCACACCATTTGTTTTGGAAAAATCAACATTAGTTCCATTAAAATTATATGAAACTATTGCAGTTCCATTAGCAGAATCAATTGAAAGAACATTTGAAAATATTGATAAAATAGAAGACATTAAATTAGTTCTTCAAGGATTAATTGATACAATTCATATGTCTTGCATTCTAAGACATGAGACAAAACCACAAATTATAAAAGCATTATTAGTAATTACTCATCTTGATGTTGTAAATACTATCTCACAAAGAAATGTTATGGCTGTAGAAACATTAATTGATGTTTGTGTAACTGATTTTGAATATCTTGAAGATTGTTGGGAAGACTGTCTTCAAGTTATATTAAAGATGGAACGTTTACATATGCTAGCTTCTGGGTGGAAAGAAGAGTCTAATAAAGTTCCAATTAAAGAACAACGAATAAAAAGATTTGAATATTCTTCTGACTATAAAGGACCAGTAAAGGAACGTGTGTTATTAACTGAAAATGTTCCCCAATGTATTCTTGATATAGGAGATGTTGAATTAGGTAGTGTTTATAATACAATAGACTTTTCTGATGAAGCAATTGTTTATTTCTTTAAAGGGTTATGTGGTGCTGCAACAAAAGAATTAGAAGCACCTATTCCAAGAATATACATACTTCAAAAATTAGTCATTTCAGCTGAAGCAAATATTGGAAGAAGTGAAATTGTTTTCCAGAAAATATGGAGGTATTTAGTTCCATTTTATATTCGGTGTGGACTACATCCAATTGAAGATGTTGCTATGTCAGTGTTAGATAATCTTCGACAGTTAACAATGAAATCAATGATGAGCCAAGAAGTTTCTGTTGAAAACCAAAAGGAATTTTTGAAACCTTTTGTTGTTATTATTTCAGATCATCCAAGTGTTAATGTAAGAGAATTTGTTATTCAAGTTCTTCAACAAATCTTAACAAATAAGAGATGTGGAGAGAATTTAAAAAGTGGATGGGAAACAATATTTGATATAGTTCTTTTTGCCTCTGTTGATGAAGCTAGAGTATCAATTCTTGCTTTCCAATTTTTTAAACAAGTATATAAGTTATTTGAAAAATGTCCTTATTATGAAAAGTATTTCTTCTTGTTCCTTAGATGTTTAAAGTCTTTTGGAAGACTTGAATCTGTTGAAGAAGTTGGGTTACAAGTTAATTCTTTGATTCAAATGATTTTAACAAATTTCTTTGTTGGTAAAAAAGAAGTTGAATTAAATGATAATTGTTATAGGAATATCATTCCAATGTTTAAAGTCTTATCAACAAATATTCATTCATTATATATTTCTGTTGCAACAAATTCTATAGAAATATTTTTTGGGTTATTAAGATCAATTGGTAATGTTACTAGTCATGAACTAATGGAAACAATATTAACAGATTGTATATTACCATTATTTACTACTGATATATCAAATCAATGGGTAAGTAATATTTTTGAAATTCTATTTGTTGCCACTCTTGATTTCTTATTAGAACAACATGAATATTGTATGTTATTAGTTGATCTTATTGAATTTGCTTTTTATGTTATATTTCATGAAGGACCAGCTTTTTCTTCAGCTGCATTATCATTTATTAATCAATTTATTGGTGGAGTTGCAAATACTAATGACACTATATTAATGCATTCATTCATTGAGAAATTTTCTGTATTTTGTACATCAGTTGTTCAATTTATACCTATTTATAATGAATATCAATCTGATAAAACAACAGAAGTTAATCTAACAAAGGAAAAACAGTTAAAAGGAAATTGTATGATTTGTATGAAAGAAGTTATTAGTGAATATTTAATGACATGCCCAATTTGTGGTAAACAAAAATATTGTTGTGAAGAATGTTATATTAAAGATACCCAATCACATAAAAAGATCTGTTTACAACAAGTTAAATTAAAACATCTTTCTCTAGTTACTGGGCAAGAATTTACTCAATCATTACCACAATTTACATCTTCACTAATTGAAAAAATTTCAGGAATTAATAATGTCTCACAAGCATTATTTGCTTTATTTAATATACTCACTAAAATTATTTCTGATGATGATATGGTAATTTTATTTACTCAATTAACTAATGTATTCAATGAATTATTCACTCTATTCAATAAACACCCAGAAGATGTAAGTTCATTAGTTAAGTCAGAAACACTTATTGAAATTTATGATTTATATGTTGTTCAATTATTTGAAATGTATTTAAATATTTTTACAAGTGATAAACATCACAGAGAGTTAATGTCAGAATTATATTTCTTATTTGCTCAAACATTACTTAAATGTTATGTTGATAATAAATGTGAATATAGTTTGTCTATTACAAAGAGTGTAATAATATCAATCACAAATCAATTAATAAAAATAACTAACGACACCGTTTATTATCAGATTGTTGATTTCTTATATGATTACTTTATTGACATGATTTCGACGAAGGATGAAGATTTAAGAGAGATTCTTCGTTTATTATTGCATAAACATAGAACAATACAAACAAACGAATTAAAAAAAAAATGATGAAATCTCATAATTTTATTTCATTCTTATATTTTAAGTTTTTTCATATGAAAAAAAGAAATAAATAGAAGCAATAAAAGTCTCTTTTAAAGAAAAAGAACTTTTTTCTGTTTCTCTCTTTCCCCTCATGCAACAAGAATGGAACCATCATCTCTTTGAAGGATGTGTTTTTATCCAACCACCTACTGAATTACAAGAAAATTCTAATCCTATTCAACCAGCATTCTCATTTCCTTCTGCTTTCAAAGCACCTTCAAATATTCATCTATTTCTTTATCCAGAATTACCAGAAACTGATTTTCTTCCTAGTTATTTTATTGTAACGTTTACAACACCATCAGGCACACAATATGGTCATACATTAAGAACAGAAGATGGCAGTATTTGTTTGATAAGTTTTTATTGTTGGGAAATTTTTTTTAGAAGAGTCGTTATTCGCTCCCAAACATATTGGAAAAATAACTTTGAAGGTCTTGAAAAATATCTCAATGATATTTTAGAATCTCCAGAACGTCCTCTTTCAACTGAAAAAATTTTAGATATGGATATTCCTATTGTTGTTGAGAAACTTCTTCTTTCTCAAGTCATGTTATTATTTAATTCTATATTATGTGAAAGAAGAATTATTGTTGTTGGTAGTAACTATGAAACAGTTACTTGTTTCATTTTATCAGCACTACAACTTATTGGGCCATTGTCTTGGCCTCATCCCATAGTTACACTCTTACCACGTTGTTATAGTGAATTAGTTGACCTTCCAACTCCATTCATTTGTGGGATATCAACATACCAATTTTCATTAATGCAACCATTAACAAATAAAGTAGTTGTTGTTGATTTAGACAATGGAACTACTCGTTCAAACGACCCTCTTATGATACAACAAGATAAAAATTTATTCCCAGAATTCGCAACACAATACCTAAGAGAAAGTTTAAAGAGTGTTTTGATGGAAATGCCAAAACAAATACCAGTCATGCTTAAACAAACATTTAATCAATATATTCTTAAACTTCTTCAAGCACCAGAAACATTTATTTCATTAAAAAATAAACGAGGGACATTAGTTGCTGAAATGGATATGAAAAAATATAAGAAAACATATAATTACAAAGCAGGAAGTAGAAAATTCATTGATTTCTTTTCTACAACTGGTGCATTTGATCAATATTTACAAAAGATAGAAAATGAAATGTTGAAAGGAGGTGGACAAACAGTTGATCCACCTGAACCTAATTTTTGGGATTCATTATTCCAATTCAATTTTCCAACTGATGACCTCACTAAGCAAAGAGGAAAACAATATAAAATGCAATAAAATAAAGTGATAATTGACTGTATGTTCTTTCAATTTTCTAAGGGCTTAATATGAAAGATAGTAATGTCATTTGTTCCAGCACTTCTCATATGAGCTGACCATGCACCTGTTCCTGGATGAGTGTATAAATACATTCTATTTCTATCAGACTTAATAGTATATAATCCATATGCCTTTTTAAAGAATAAATAAACAATAACACTAAATGGTGCAAATTGACCAACATGAGTATGTCCACAAAGCATAAGATCAAATATCCCTTTTTCACATGTTTGTTTATATCCGAATGGACGGTGTTGTAAAATAATATTGTAAGTCTCAGCAGATGGTAATTGAGATACCATATTCATTTCTTCAACATATTCTTCTTCAGTATTACTGTCATCAGTTCCAATTATGGCACAATTGTACTTTTCTTCTATACTCATTCTATTTTGTAAAAGAGTAATCCCACACGAATTTAACATAACTAATAAATGTTGTATCCCTGTTATATAATCATGATTTCCTGTTGACATATAAACTGGACATTCATTTGTTAAAGCTTTAAATGGCATTAATTCTTCTGTTTGAACATTTGGAGAATCAGTTAAATCACCAGTAATAACAACAAAATCTGGATGAAGGGGAAGAATTTTTTTAACTATGTGTTGTGAATGTGAAAGGAATCTACTGCCAATATGAACATCACTTATATGAACAAACTGTACCACTTTTGAAACTTTAGGAGATGTAAGTGTGATATGTTTAAATGGTAAACGATGTCCTTGCCATAATGAATAAATATCAAAAAGAATTGAACAAAGAATAATTAAACAAAATATAGTAATTCGGTAATTATTTGGCATATAATTTCCAGTTATAAACGATATAAACTTACCTCGGTGATATAAATCATTTCTAAATAATGAACTGCCAAATAATTTTGTTGAAATCAATACGATGTTTATCACATCATAGATAAGAGAGAATGGTATCAAATTAAAAATACAAAGATCTATAGTTGATGAATATAAATTAATTATTCTGAACCACTTGCTTTTAAAAATGAAGTCACATACGAAAATTACAAATGTTGAGAATACAAAAATATGTGGAACTACAAGACTGATAATTAAAGTAATTGCAAAATCACGTCCAACAGTTGATAAGTCATTGTCATATGAAACAAAAGGTATTAACAGAACTAGTCTTGATACTGTAATTGAGAACAAAAAAGTCATAAAAAAACACATAACGATAGCAATAACAAAAAAGGTTGGAGACACTTTAGACTCTGACATGATATTTTTTATTTTCAGTTTATTCCGAGATGATTTTATGTAAAGGAAAAGAAACGTCATCAAAAATCGAAAAGTAATGAAAGATATAATAATGAAGATGGAATTAACTTGTTTTGTGTCTGATTTTTTATTGTTTTTTTATTGAGTGATTCAATAAGAATCACCATTGTTTGAAAAAGGAATGAATGTTAGATAAAAGAAGAAAAAAGGGGTTCAGTGAGGTTTTTGAAAAAGAAAGGAAAAAAAGTAGCGAACGAAAAAGAAGTAAATCAAAATGGAAGACAAGAAACAAATCAAAGTCTTTGTTAAATGCCTTGAGAAAAACCAAACTATTATGTTTAAGATGAATTTTGATGAGGTTGCTGATAAATTATATTTACAATGTTCTGAACATTTTCAAATGGAAATTAATGCTCCACTACGTTTAATTTGTAAAGGAAAGATATTAGACCCCCACAAAAGTTTAGAACAAAATGAAGTTTATGATGATTCTTTATGTTATTTATATTCACCTGATATCCAAAGAACAATAAGTAATGATGAAGATGCAATAAATGCGTTGATGGATGATATGGTCAGAGACTTTGGATTAAGAAATAATCCTAGAATTATTCTTTATGTTAACAATCCTAATACAGGAGAAATGGTTCGTGTTATAAGAACTCCTACTGTTGTAGTCAATACTCAAAATGAATCTTCAATTAATACAACTAACTCACAACCATCTCAAAGTAACAATGAAACAAACAATGTAACTAGAACACAAGAAACAGAAGAACAACCAATGTTTAGTCAAATTATAGAACAATCTCTTATAAATTTACTTCGCAACATCAATAGCCAAAGTCTTCAAATTGGTCATGCTACTCAACCACAACAAAGCCCTGTTGAAAATCAACAAACTGTTCATTCACAAAATGTCAATACTACGAATAATAATTCACAGCTACAACAAAACACCAATCAAAATGGACTTAGAGAAGAACAACAAAGAAGAGAAACTAACCAACCTCAAATCAATCCTATTCCATCTTCAAATCATAATAATAATAGTTCAAATTCTACCAATACCCTTTTAAATCAATTAAGGTCTATAGATAGTCAAATCATAGCAAGGCCAGTCCCTACAATATCATTCCAAATATTAGACATGAGACCTCGGTCTATTCCAATTGATAATTTACATGCGTTTCGAGGTAATACAAGAACAGTATTACATTCAGTTGGACAAGAAAGAACGTGTCAACAAGAAAACTCAAGTACTACACCTATTCAACCAAACAATAATCCTATAGAAGAAAAAATCAATAGGCTTCTTTTTGAATTATTTGTAACACTTATTTTTAATGAAAGAGAAGAGGATGTAGCAAAAGAAGTGATTCAATCACTTTCTACTATTTCAAATAACAAAGAAGAAATTATTGGCAGCTTTATTAATGGAACAGCAACTCTTCTTACATCACTTCTCAGTGAATCAACAAATGAAGTTAAACATTCATTACTAAGAGATGTTTTAAATATTATTTATTATAACTTGTATGAATTTTATTCAAATGATCCTCTTACTCCACAACAACTCCTTTATTATTTTAAGAAAGATATTTACGATATCATCGAATTAAACAAAAAATATTCAATCAATAATATCTTAGATTTGTTCCATAGGTTACTTCATCATATAGTTAGTCACGCTTCACTACCTCCCAAAGTTACTTCTAAGATTTCTCCTTCAATAGAAACAGAGGAACAATTTTTAAAAGCAGTACAACGCTGTCACGAAGCGTTTAAATTGTAGATTAATCTAAGAAAATCCTTCATTCTCTCTTTCTATTCATTTTCCTTATTCAACTTGAAATCATTCATATTTAAAGTTCACCTTATATTTCTATTTTTAGAATTCACAAAAACTAAAAAACAAAAAAAGAAAAAGAAAGTTAGAAAAGAAGCGTTGACCAATCAAATGCAAATATCTCTAAACCAAGAAATCTCAGAAAAATTATTATGGACAGTTGTTTAGTTCAAATCAAACAAATTGTTTATTCAACATCAAAAAAGAATGGGAAACAAAATCAGTCAGAAATTAATGATATTCTTACAATGACTGGAATTACTGGAAAGATTATATATATTAAATCGTTAATTGAAAATGTATTGTCTGATGGAATTGGAAGAGAATCATTTAAATTACAAACATTACGAGATGAAATTAATGCTCTAACACAATCAAGCCAAGCAGTTTTATTTAAGAAAGAATTATCAGCAATGAAACTCTCAACTACTCAAATTAAGTCATTTCGGGTTACTCCTTCTGGAGAATATTTATTTGGTATTCTTCCTAACCAACCAACGTCGTTAACATCTGCTTTGTTATTTGATTATTTATGTGAACACCCTAAAGAACGAATTGATAAAACTAATGGTTCAAATGCTAATATTTTTTCAGTTTCATGGAAAACTCCCGTTTCATTAGATTTGTCACTTCCACCAATTCATACTATTTCAGAA